TTTTAGTAGAGACGGGGTTTCACCATATTGGCCAGACTGGTATAAAACTTCTGACCTTGTGATCTGCCCACCTGGGCCTCCCAAAGTGCTGGGATTACAGGCATGAGCCACTGTGGCCAGCCAGATTATATTTTTTAAACTTAAAATAAAAAGCACTAGTGTTCTCAAATTATCTTTTAATACTTCCTACCAGGTACTGTCAATAAAAATATTTATATTCCAATTGAAAAATGGTATGTGCATATATGTGTTTAGAAATAAACATTTTGAAAAGACAAATGTCGTGTGGTGTGAAATAAATGAACTCATGGATATAAAGTATCCCTTTAATCTTGTGTTACGTTCATTAATTTCAAATGAAGCAAAGCACTGGCCATAATACCATTCAATTTGTCCTATATTAGAAGTCCTGGCCGGGCATGGTGGCTCAAGCCTGTAATTCCAGCACTTTGGGAGGCTGAGGCGGGCAGATTACGAGGTCAAGAGATGGAGACCATCCTGGCCAACATGATGAAACCCCATCTCTACTAAAAATACAAAAATTAGCTGAGTGTGGTGGCATGTGCCTATAGTCCCAGCTACTCGGGAGGCTGAGGCAGGAGAATTGCTGCTTTAACCCGGGGGGCAGAGCTTGCAGTGAGCCAAGATCAAGCCACTGCACTCCAGCCTGGCACCTAGCAACAAAGCAAGACCCTGTCTCAAAAAAAAAAAAAGAAGTCCTATGATAAATTTCTCTTATAGTTTTGAATGGAAAGTGGTTGATATACTTTAAAACAGTAAGAAAATTTTATACTAAACATTATGTGATTTTAGGTTATCTGCCTATTCTGTTGGAATGCAGGATTTTTCTTGCCAATTTCTTAGATGTCATTACAAATTAAGATAAGCAATTTGTCCATGATATGAATTGTATATATCTTCCCCAATTTGCCATTTGTTTTTTGACTTTAATGCTTTTTGCTATGCAGAAGTTTTGAATTTTAGGTACTCAATGTTTTTAATTTTCATGACATAAAGCTATAGAGAATATATTTTTGTTTCTGTACAGTTAAGCTTTCTGATAAAAATCTTGGAACTTGCTCTAAAAAGCAAGCTTTGGACGTTAATTTACAATAGAGAACCCCAGAGACATTTACCTAACTCTGGAAGTGTGCATTTACATTTCAAAGAAAGCTGAGACGTGGGACTGTGCAGATATCCCTGAGTTGCAAAACTAAAGATGATGTTTCTAAGCTTTCACAAGAGAAATTTATTTACATTCCAAAAGGTGATATTAAGAAATCAGAATCTTCCCAAGAACGAAAGGCTTTTCTCCCTACTTGAAGGAAGAGAGGACAGTGTTTCTATAAACAGCCAAATTTATTTTTTGGTGTTTCCTACCTATACATGTGGGTGACATCTGGTTCTCATCACATTGCTCTGGTGGCAAGAATGTAACTAATAATAATCTATTTGTTGCTTCTCCAAAAACCTCCTGTGTGCATCTGGGTTATTATCAATAAATATAATTATTACACACGTTCCTTTTTATTTATAGTTGAAAAATGGTTTCTCTACTCCAAATTTAAAACATACTGTCCATGATTTAATAGTTTTTAAACCTTTAAATTTTTGGTCAATTTGTAGGTTTGCTCCACATATAGTGTGAGGTGAATATAAACTATATATTTTTATACATGGGTGAAAAGTTGACTGAACAAAATTTGCTAAACTGTCTATTTGCCCTCCTCTGTTTTGTTTGTTTTTAATTCCTTTACAGAAAGTGGGGTGATATTTGACACTGAGGTACATGAGAGAGATCCTGTGAATATCGTTAACTTGTCCCTGATGGGACAGCTGAAGGGATCTCAAGACAAAAGCTCAGTTTCCTCATTCTTTTTCCTTCCTTTCCTCCACCATTTTTTTCCTGTTTTTCTTCATCTTTCCTTACTCTTACTTCAACTGTTCTTCTTAATTTTCTTTGTAAAGTTCCTTGCTTCCTCTTGTATCCCACAGATTTTGGTATATTTCTAGTATTATTGAGTTCCATATATTTGATTATTCCTTATGATTTTATCTTTGAACTATAGACTATGTAGTGTGTGTTGCAAAATATTCAAATATTTGGAGTTTTCCTATGTATCTGTGGCTATTGGTTTCAAAGTCAATTGCATTGTACTTAGATAATATATTCTTCATAATTTTTGCCCATTGAAATGTATTTCTAGTTGTTTTATGGCCAATTGCAAGAGGTTTTTTGGTGAATATACATGTGAAAAGAATTTGGATATTACAGTTGTTGAGTAATCTCTATAAATTTCAATTAGAACAACATAGTTAATAATATTTTATGTCTTCTATATATTCACTAATGTTTTGATTGCAAATTCTATTTATTCCGTAAAACAAAAACACAAACAAAAAACAAACCAGGTCATGAAATCTCCTACTATGACTGGGGACTTGCCTACTTGTCTCTTTCATTTTGCTGAAATTTACTTCTTGCTGTTTGAAGCTGTGCATTAGGCGCTCTACAACATTTACAATGTCCAGTCTTCTTGATGAAATATTCTTATTATCATTTGAAATGTTCCTCTTTATCACTGCTAATACTCTGTCTTAAAGTTTATTTTAACTGATTCTAAACTAGCAACTTTGGCTAATTTCATTCTAACAATATGCAGGAGCTATCTTTTTCCATATATTTACTTTTAACCTATCTGTCATTGTACTTAAAGTGTATCATAAACAGCATTGCTTATTTATTTTGATAATTTCTGCCTTTTAAATCGTGTTTTGAATATCTGTATTTAACATAACTATTGGAATACTAGAATTTATATTTAAAATTTAAGTTTCTTCTCCATTTGTTTTCGTTTTTGATTTCCCTGTTCCCTTTCATGCCCTATAGTTTCATTATACAGTTTGTTGTTTATCAAAATCCCATTTCAAAGTAGCTGTTGGTCTTCTAACTATATGCCTTGGTGCTATAGTTTGAATCCTTCAGTTTTAGAGTAAAACTATATTTAGTATTGTATCACAACACGTAAAAGCTAAAATCCTTGCAGTTATAAAGGTGCTTCCCTCCCCCATCTTTATGTTATGATTATTACATGTATTATAATTTCAAACTTAAAAAAATATTATTTTAAGTTTTGCTTTAACCAATACTAGGTATCTTACCTGACCCACATTATAAAAAAATTGTTTTTTCAGCTATTTCTCATTTTTGATACTCTTTCTTCGTTTCTCAAAATGTAGGTTTCATACCTGCATGATAAAAAACCTGAACAAAATTGACATAGAAGGAACATATCTAAAAATAATAAGAGCCATATATGACAAATCCATAGCTAATATCATGTTGAAACGGCTACACTGTCTAGGGTATATAACCTGTGATTCGTTGTCTCGCCCCTAGAAATTCAGGACACGAACATATGTGGACAGGTTAAGGAGTGGAAAGTTTAACAGAAGAAAGGAGAGAGGAGAGCAGTTCTATGTGTGCAGTGTGGGGTGTGTTTGTGTGTGTGTGTGTGTGTGTGTGTGTGTGTGTGAGAGAGAGAGAGAGAAAGAGAGAGAGAGAGAGAGAGAGTAAGAGAGACATCTGAAAGCGGGGAAGTGACCGACCACAGCAGATTTTATAGGCAGGCTGGAAAAGGTGGTATCTGATCTACCCAGGACTCACCGATTGGTTTGATTAGGTATGACGTTTACATAGCACACAAGGCAGCTGGTTCTCCATCCCAGTCTTATTAGGCAAACGGGCTTTTCAGTTGATTGGGGTCATCGTGTCTACTTCTTACTGTACATGTGGCCAACAAAGAGAAGGGAAGATGCAGCCACCATATTGAACATGTTTAGTCCTTTGTTCCTGTGACATTCACCAAGGCAAGCTCCCAGCTTGCTTGTCTATGTCTGCAGCTCAACTTTACAGCTTGCTGTTCATTGGAAAATGATTTGGGACTGCTTTTCATTAAAGAGAAAAGCTTTACCAAAGACTGTTATACCCTTACTATCTGCCTAAGTGATTTCTTCTTAACTCCTGTATCAAAACTGAATGGGCAAAAGCTGAGAGCATTCCCCTGGAGAACTGGAATAAGACAAGGATGCCCACTCCCACTACTCCTATTCAACACAATACTGGAGGTCTTGGCCAGAGCAATCAGGCAACAGAAAGAAATAAAAGGCATTCGAATAGGAAAGACAAAAGTCAAACTATCTCTCTCAACCAGTGATGTGATTCTATACCTGGAAACCCCTAAAAACTCTGCCAAAAGCTCCTGAAACTTATAAAGGACTTCAGTAAAGTTTTGAGATACCAAATAATGCACAAAAATTTGTAGCATTTCCAGATACCAAAAATGCTCAAGCTGAAAGCCAAATCAGGAAGGCAATCCCATTTGCAATGCCCACACAACCTTGAAACAAAATACCAAATAATACATTTAATCAAAGTGGTAAAAGATCTCTACGAAGAGAACTACCAAACACTGATGAAAGGAATCATAGATGACACAAGCAACTAGAAAAGCATTCCATACTCATGGAGTGGAGGAATTAATATCATCAAAATAATCACACTTCCCAAAGCATCTACAGATACGATGTTATTTCTATCAAACTACTAATGTCATTTTTTCACAGAATTAGAAAAAAAAAAAAAAACTCTTCTAAAATTTGTATGGAACCAAAAAAACAGCCCAAATAGCCAAAGGAATTCTAAGTGAAAGAGCAAAGCCAGATACTTCACATTACCCAACTTCAAACTATATATAATGTCGGGCTACAGTAACCAAAAGAGCATAGCACTGATACAAAAACAGATACATGGCTCACGCCTGTAATCCCAGCACTTTAGGAGGCCGAGGCGGGCGGATCACGAGGTCAAGAGATCTAGACCATCCTAGCCAACATGGTGAAACCCCGTCTCTACTAAAAATACAAAAAAATTAGCTGGACGTGGCGGTGCATGCCTGTAGTTGCAGCTACTCGGGAGCCTGAGGCAGGAGAACTGCTTGAACCCGGGAGGCGGAGGTTGCGGTGAGCCGAGGTCGTGCACTCCAGTCTGGCGCCTGGTGATGGAGTGAGACACCGTCTCAAAAAAACAAAACAAAACGAAAAAAAAAACAAAAAAAACAAAAAACAGATACAAAGACCAATGGAGCAGAATAGAGAAACCAGAAATAAGGTCACACACCTACAGCCATCTGAATTTTGACACTGTTTATAAAAACAAGCAACGGGAAAGGGAATCATTCAATAAACGGTGCTGGAATAACTGACTAGCCATATGCAGAAGATTGAAGCTAGACCCTTACCTTTCACAAGATAATAAATTAACTCATGATGGATTAAAGATTTAAATGTAATTATAGTATTTTAAACTATAAGAATGCAAGGAATAAAACTAAGAAACGCCATCCTGAACATAGGCTTGTGAAAGAATTTATGACTAAGTCCACATGGGCACAGGGAGGGGAATATCACACACTGTGGTCTGGTTGATAGGTAGCTAGGGGAGGAACAGCAGGCTGTTGGGAGATTGGGGAGGTACAGTGTGAGGAGAAATACCTTATGTAGATGACGGGGTGATGGATGCAGCAAACCACCACCACGGCACATGTATACCTATGTAGCAAAGCTACATGATCTGCACATGTACCCCAGAAATTAAAGTATAATAATATAAAAAATAGTCAAGTGGAAACTAAACTAAACAGCTTCTGCACAGCAAACGAAACTATGATGAGAGTAATCAGACAACCTACAGAATGGGTGAAAATATCCACAAACTGTGCATCCAACAAAGGTCTATCCACATAATCGTGATCATCTGAGTCAATTCTTCTTAATAAACTCCCTTTCACATATACATATATCCTATTAGTTCTGTCTCTCTGGAGAACCCTGGCTAATAAATTGGGTATATATCCAAAAGAAAATAAACTGTTCTACCATATAAGACACATAAACTTACATGTTCATCGCAACACCATTCATAATAGCAAAGACTAGAATCAACCTAGGTGCCCATCAGTGGTGGATTAGATAAGGAATGTGGTACAATAGGGCATGAAATACCACAAAGCCATTAAAAGAATGATACTATGTCTTTTGCAGCAACTTGGATGCAGCTGGAGGCCATTATCCTAAGCAAATTTACACAGGAACAGAAAACCAAATGCCGCGTGTTCTCACTTATAAGTGGGGGCTAAACACTGGGTACTCATGGATATAAAGACAGCAATAATAGATGCTTGGGACCACTAGACTGGGGAGGGAAGGGGCCACAAAAGACTCTTGGGTATTCTGTTCAACTACCTGGTTGATGGGGTCATTCCTATTCTAAACCTCAGCATCACAAAATATGCCCTGTAACAAACTTGCATATGTACCCCCTCAATCTAAAATAAAAGTTGAAATCATTTTTAAAAATGTTTCCCTCTGACATAACTTCTCTTTAATCTCATCTTGCTCCATCTTTTTTAGGGGGAAATGTAGGTGCAAGTCTGCTAGTGACAAATTTCGTTTTTGTTAATTTTAACATGCCGTTCCTTATTTTACCTTATTTAGTGATATATATATATATATATATATATTCTGTAACAAAAACTATAATGAAGACTGTAACATGGAAAAAATGTTTTATGTTAAGTACAAAAGGGACATAAAATTGCATATACAGTAGAATAATTATGTAAACACACCAAAAATCTACACACAGGAATGTCTAGGGGAACATTTAACACCGAAAGATTAACAGTGGTAGCATCTGGGTGGCAAACTTACTCTTTCCAAAATTCCCAAATTTTCCTTATTAAGCAGTAATTGTAGTTGCAGTGGGAAATACATTTTTTTAAGTATCCGCTGGCTGAGCAGTGCAGTGTGGCTGTCAAATAAACATCAGTGGCTTTGGCCCTGACTCCTAAATGGGTGGCAAACGCCGCTGCCACACTCCTTACCTACCGCTAAGAAAATTTAAGCACCTCTGGCTCTGCTGAGAGCATCTGTGCAGCCGCAGCCCTCAGCTTCTCTTCGCTCATTCTGCCTTATGCCCTCACCTCGTCATTTCTACTCACTTCCAGCTATATCTTTTTCCTTTCTTTCTTTCTTTTTTTTTTTTTTTTTTTTTTTTTTTTTTGAGACGGAGTTTCGCTCGTTATCGCTCGTTACCCAGGCTGGAGTGCAATGGCGCGATCTCGGCTCACGGCAACCTCCGCCTCCTGGGTTCAGGCAATTCTCCTGCCTCAGCCTCCTGAGTAGCCGGGATTACAGGCGCACGCCACCACGCCCAGCTAATTTTTTTTGTATTTTTAGTAGAGACGGTGTTTCACCATATTGACCAGGATGGTCTCGTCTCGATCTCTGACCTCATGATCCACCCGCCTCGGCCTCCCAAAGTGCTGGGATTACAGGGGTGAGCCACCACGCCCGGCCCTTTTTCCTTTCCTTCTTAACTCAGGAGGCACAGGGGCCAAAAATAGAAGCCATGAGGTGTCATGTTTTCAGAGAAAACGGTGCCTCAGTTTTGAACACACAGGAACTCAAATAAAAATCGTTTTCCTGCTGCCGGGCAAGTCATGCTTGGTGATTGCTCTGGTTGGAGATATGCGAAGTTACGTAGCGTTTCCTGTTAACCCATGGATCCAAGCACTCTCAACAATTATTCCTATCATGCGTTTTCCACCCTGGGTGGGCAATAGCAGCGTCATTTGGTTTCTGAAAGTCCTTCCTCTCTGGGAGAGGAGAGCTCGACAGTGGGTGGCATCCCGTAGTATCTACCGTACATTTGGGAAAGGTGTCCGCTTCTTGGACTTCCAGTTTGAGGAACAAGTCAAAAAATAATGAGTTTAAAAAGGCCGAGTCTGCTGCACCGAGGGTCCTTCTGAAGACCCTCCTTTGAGAAGGTGGACACACAGCACACGGGTGGAGAGGCCATGCGGAAGGAAGCTCCCGCCGCAGCCCAAGGGTGCAACGCGACTGTTCTCAGTCCCCTCCGCGTTTCTTTCTTTGTCGTATCTTTAGCAGAGACGGGGTTTCAGCACGTTGACCAGGATGGTCTCGATCCCTTGGCCTCGTGATCCACCCGTGTCGCCCTCCCAAAGTGCTGGGATGACAGGCGTGGCCCACTCCGCGATCCCCCCTACTGGCCGCCCCGCTGCGCGGAAGCAGCGGAGCCGCGTCAGGCCGACTCGTCCACGGTGGGCAGCCAGAAGAGCATGCGGGAGCAGGCGCTGGCGAACGTCATGAACTTGGGGTTGAACTGCAGGCAGCTGACCGGGCCCGCGTGCTTGCCGTCCAGCACGGCCACCTCGGCGCCGCTCTCGCCGCTCCACGCGTGGATCTTGCCGTCCTCCGAGCCCGTCATCACGAAGCGCGAGTCCGGGGTGAAGGCCGCCTCCAGCGCGGCCGCCGTGGCGTTGGCGTGGCCGGCGAACGTGTGCAGCAGCGCCCCGGAGAAGGCGTCCAGCAGGCACAGGAAGCCGGCGTTGGTGGCGATCAGCAGGAGCCGGCCGTCGCCGCTGAACCGCAGCCCCGTCCAGTCGCAGGGCCGGTCGCAGCGCGTGCGGAACGTGGCGAACGGGCCCTTGTCCAGGGCGCGCAGGTCGTACAGCTTGACCGCCCTGGAGCTGACCGCGGCCGCCAGGACCAGCCCGTCGGGGCCGAAGGCGCACAGCGGCCGCCCGCGCAGGTGCACCAGGCCCTGGCAGTTGGGCGCGCGCAGGTCCCACAGGCGGACGGTCCGGTCCAGCGAGCCGGACACGAAGATGTCGTCGGCGGGCGACACGCACAGCGCCACCACCCTGCGGCTGTGCCCCGGGAAGTAGCGGATGTACTTGTTGTCGTGCAGGGACAGGTGGCGGATGGTGTCGTCCCGCTTGCTGGAGCTGCACAGCACCGAGCCCGCGTCGCGCGCGTAGCGGATCAGGCCCGCGCCGTACTTCCGGCTGTACAGCGTCCGCTGCGCTTTGCCCTCCCGGAGGTCGTACAGCACGATGGAGTCGTCGGCGCTGCTCGACACGACCCAGTGGCCGCTGGGGCTGAAATCCAGGCAGTTGATCTTGTCCGAGTTTTCGCAGAACACCTTGGCCACGCGAAAGCTGCGCAGCACGTCCTCGGTCAGCTTCATGGCGGCGGCTGAGGCGGGCGGGACCGGCGTCGAGAGGGAGGCCTGCTGACTGGCCGACGCGGGTGGCGTCAGGGAGGGGGCGGGGCCGGCTGCGACCGGGAGGCCTGCTGACTGGCCGATGCGGGTGGCGGCAGGGAGGGGGCGGGGCCGGCTGCCAGCGGGAGGGCTGCTGACTGGCCGATGCGGGTGGCGTCAGGGAGGGGGCGGGGCCGGCTGCGACCGGGAGGCCTGCTGACTGGCCGATGTGGGTGGCGTCAGGGAGGGGGCGGGGCCGGCGGCAAGCGGGAGGGCTGCTGACTGGCCGACACAGATGGCGGCGGGGAGGGGGCGGGGCTGGCGGCAAGCGGGAGGGCTGCTGACTGGTCGATGCGGGTGGCGTCAGGGAAGGGGCGGGGCCGGCTGCGACCGGGAGGCCTGCTGACTGGCCGATGCGGGTGGCGTCAGGGAGGGGGCGGGGCCGGCGGCAAGCGGGAGGGCTGCTGACTGGCCGATGCGGGTGGCGTCAGGGAGGGGGCGGGGCCAGCGGCGAGCGGGAGGGCTGCTGACTGGCCGTCGCGGGTGGCGGCAGGGAGGGGGCGGGGCCGGCTGCCAGCGGGAGGCCTGCTGACTGGCCGATGCGGGTGGCGTCAGGGAGGGGGCGGGGCCGGCTGCGACCGGGAGGCCTGCTGACTGGCCGATGCGGGTGGCGGCAGGGAGGGGGCGGGGCCGGCTGCCAGCGGGAGGGCTGCTGACTGGCCGATGCGGGTGGCGTCAGGGAGGGGGCGGGGCCGGCGGCGAGCGGGAGGGCTGCTGACTGGCCGTCGCGGGTGGCGGCAGGGAGGGGGCGGGGCCGGCTGCCAGCGGGAGGGCTGCTGACTGGCCGATGCGGGTGGCGTCAGGGAGGGGGCGGGGCTGGCAGCAAGCGGGAGGGCTGCTGACTGGCCGACACTGATGGCGGCAGGGAGGGGGCGGGGCCGGCGGTGAGCGGGAGGGCTGCTGACTGGCCGACACAGATGGCAGCGGGGAGGGGGCGGGGCTGGCGACAAGCGGGAGGGCCGAGGGCTGCTGACTGGCCGATGCAGGTGGCGTCAGGGAGGGGGCGGGGCCGGCTGCGACCGGGAGGCCTGCTGACTGGCCGACGCGGGTGGCGGCAGGGAGGGGGCGGGGCCGGCTGCCAGCGGGAGGGCTGCTGACTGGCCGATGCGGGTGGCGGCAGGGAGGGGGCGGGGCCGGCTGCCAGCGGGAGGGCTGCTGACTGGCCTATGCGGGTGGCGTCAGGGAGGGGGCCCGGCTCGGTCGCGAGTGGGAGGGCTGCTGACTGGCTGACGTGGGTGGTGGCGAGGGGCGGGGACGGGGCCGGCGGCCACCGGGAGGGCTGCTGACTGGCCACACAGATGGCGGCGGGGAGGGGGCGGGGCCGGCGGCGAGCGGGAGGGCTGCTGACTGGCCAACGCGGGTGGCCGCGGCTTAGGCGGGCAGGGGCGGGGCAAAGGCAGCAAACGGTTGCGCCGCCTCCACTTCTCCCTACGGCCTGCCCGTCAGTCTTGTCAGTGAGCGCTGGAGCGTCCCGACCGTTAGTCCTCACAGCCACCTCACGGGCAACCGGCGAGGCGTTGGCTCCTTGTGTCCGCCATCTTGGGGTGACAGACAAGCCGAAGGCTGCTACCTCAGCCAGGGCACGCTGGGGACGCGGGGACGCCGGGATAGCGGGAATGACACATATTTTCGTTAGACACAAAACTCAGGGTTGGCAGGGAATTTCCTCCCTGGTGGAAATTTCAGGATTTTTAATTGTTTATGATTTTCCGTTGAAATTCATCTCGCTGTCACGCTATTGTAGAATCTTCTGTGTTCTCTGAAGTCTTCCCAGGATACGTCTGTGTGGAAATTGGAAATTAGAAATCATTTTTCCAGGATCTCGCAGAGAGTTTTCTGTCTTTGACTTGACGAAGTCTGTTTCTTTCCCTTGTCTCGGGCATTGCAGTTACCGTAATACCATTAGGTCTGCGCAGGAAGCGCCTTACGTCTTTCACACCTTTTCTGAATTCCCAGCCCTGACCTTCATCTTTCTGTGCTTCAGTTTGGGCATTTTTTTCTCCCTCATCTTCCAGTTTATTTTTTCTCTGCTTTTTGCTGATGTCTACTGAGTCACTAATATATCTCAATTATATTTTTCCAATTCTAGAATTTTTATTTAACTCTTTATAGATTGCAATTGTTCTTCCCTTCATTCTTGAACATGCTAATTATGGTTATAAAAATTCCCTAATATTTCCAATATCTAGATATTGATGATACGATTTTACATCTGTCATCACATATGTATAAAATGTATAAATGCAATTTGTATTAATATTATATATGCAACTATAAATATCATCTATCTACATATCTTCAATGACACAATAGTGCATTACTATCAGGTTTCGTGATTTAAATATTTAATAAAAATTAAATGAGATAATCTTTCAAAGTATCTTCCAAAATTCTGCTCAAGGTAAGCCCTAAACCATCATTTGTATTCCCCTAGTAGATGCAGGTTGTACCCTTACCTGAGAATTGTAAACTACAATCAAGTGGGATGTAATTGTATATGTGTTAATAACACACCTTTACTATAACCAAAAACTTTGTGAAAACGATTATTTCAAACTACAGCATTTATTGATATTTTATTAAACTTACTATTTATTTTTTGCTACCCAAGTGCAATTTAAAATTAAGAGACGGAAAAATGGACATGTATTATTGAGAATTTCAAATCCGAGATACCATTTTTCTTTAAGCACAAATAATCTAGATAGTTACTATATTTAAAGTCATACTATGACCAGTATCAAATATCGCAGTATCAAATTTGTACTTAGCAGACCCAAAATAATGATACTGGTCTGGACAACCTCATGCTTTATGAGACTTGTGGAAAAAAAAAAGCACAATCGATCCTCTTTCATGAGATGTTGAGCCCTGTAGGCTTCCTTCAAAGGAAAGAGTCCTCATGTGGAAAGAGTAAGGAAAAAGAAGAAGAAAAGAAAGAGCCCAACTCGGTTTTAATACAGAGTCTGTGAAAGTGATTCTGTGAGGCAGAAAGCTTCACTGTGAGTCTATGACACAGTCTAGTTATAAGCCAGAAAGATAAAGTAAATTCCAAAATTCTTTTCAAAAAAGTAGATTAAAAAAACAAGGACAACACTGGAATGCCAGATCAGGAGTTGTACCCACAAATATTAACAAATCTGGAGAAGTGAAAATTCCTGTACTAAATTAGTTTTATTAAATGGCTGTCAACTCATGTTAACTTCCTATGGTGTTAACACTATAGAAAAATGTTTTTTTATATTACCTTTGTTTCTGGTAACACTATCATCTGTCTATCTATCATCTATCTATCTGTCTGTCTATATTTGGGAAAAATATTTTTTGTGTAATATTTATGCTTCAAAGCCTAAAAGCCTAATGTTCAAATTAAACAAAAATAGTGATCTTTCTTAAAAAAATTAAACCCATGTCCATAATACACCCTGCAGTTGTTTGTGTGTGTTGATGTGAGGATGCCTGTGTATGAGGGCTTGTACCTAGTGCACGTCCATACTTTTCTGTGTTTTATTATATGTGAACACACCAAATGTGTGTGTGTGTGTGTGTGTGTATAATGTTCTGGTTTACAATGTATTAACCTATAGCTTAATAATGTTACGCTATAAAATTCATGTTACTTCACATAAAAATCTAGATTTTCAACTTCTCTTAGAGGAGAGGAATATGGGAAAATACCAGGCCAAAAACTTGATAAGGAAATAATTTGCTGAAGCGCCGCTCTCTTGAAACTGTGCACATCTCTTTGCCATAGTCCTATTTCTTTTACTATCTCCCAGATTTGAGATGTCAGTTATCTTTTAAGGAAGCTTGGATTCTTTAATTGTAAATTTAGGAGGGAGATTTTTTTCATGTGTCTATTAAAAATGTGAAAAAAAGACTAGTGGTCTGTACAATTTAGATCAATGTGTACTCACTGTTCTTAGTAGATGTGAAGAATATATGTATTTTTTTTATATTCAAGGAGTGTTACTGGGAAAAGAGCAATGACACCGTTTAAAAAATAAGTCACATTAAGACACATGCCAGAAATTAGAAACTTTAAATGACTAAAGAGGGAAAAAGACCAACCAAAAAACAAAAATGGCAAACCAGCATGTTTTATTTTAGATGTTATGCTGCATATCAGCCCTTCTCTTTGAACACCCATATCTTTTAAAAAATTATTTGTGTTTTTCCATATTTCTTCTAAAAAAACAAGCCCCCAAACAGAATGGGATACATGTGCAGAATGTGTATGTTTGTTACATAGCTGTACGTGTGCCATGGTGGTTTGCTGCACCTATTAACCCATCCTCTAAGTTCCCTTCCCACACTCCCCCTCCCCAACAGGCCCTGGTATGTTTTGTTTCCTTTTCTGTGTCTACATGTTATCAGTGTTCAGCTCCCACTTATGAGTGAGTACATGTAGTGTTTGGTTTTTCTGTTCTTGTGTTAGTTTGCTGAGGATGGTGGCATCCAGCTTCATCCATGTCCCCACGAAAGACATGATCTCATTCTTTTTATGGCCATATAGTATTCCGTGGTATACATCTACCACATTTTCTTAATCCAGTCTATCACTGACAGGCATTTGGGTTGGTTCAATGTCTTTGCTATTGTAAATTGTGCTGTAATAAATATATGTGTGCATGTGTCTTTATAATAGAATAGTTTATAATCCTTTGGGTCTATACCCAGGAATGGGATTGCTGGGTCGAATGGTATTTCTGGTTCTAGAGCCTTGAGGAATCACCACACTATCTCCCACAATGGTTGAACTAATTATATTCCCACCAATGGTGTAAAAGTGTTCCTATTTCTCTACAACCTAGCCAGCATCTATTGATTCCCGACATTTTAATACTCACCATTCTGACTGTTGTGAGATGGTATCTCATTGTAAGTTTAATTTGCAATTCTCTGATAATCAGTGATATTGAGCTTCTTTTCATATCTTTGCTGGCCACATAAATGTCTTATTTTGAGAAGTGTCGGTTGATATACTTTGCCCACTTTTTGATGGGGTTGTTTGTTTTTCTCT